AACCCGTCTACATAACTTAATGTTGTTTCCAGTGAACCTTCTATGAGGAAGGAGCGGTTTATCAGCAGCAAAGGGGTGGACACATGAGGGCATCCCTTACGCTGTTAATGACTGTTTAATTGTCTTAGACTGTGGATCACTGCCATTCTTTGCTAGACATGAAAACAGCTCAGGGATAAGGAATCGCAGTTTCAGAGAGCTTCAGAATTTGGATTGGAGTGGTTCTTTCGTAACCAGAGCTCGTGTAATAGGTCTTATGTTGTTTCTTTGATTAATAGGACGATTCAGTTACAACCGATGGTATTGCAGCCCCGCGTCCCTAGAGAGGGTTTGCAGGGTTAAGGAAAAGTAAGTTCCTATGAGCAAGTATCTCGGTAGCAAGCAAGCAAGGTAGCACCTTGGTAAGAAGGTATCCACTAAAACTCAGCCCTCCGAAGGCCTGCATACCAGTGTAGGTAGGAAAAATGATAGCTTGTCTAACAGGGCAGCTTCTCTCTTGGAATCATCTACAATGGATATGATTTTAATTGTTAAAGAGGCTACCGCTGCTTCTACTGAGAGCAAGCCTAGCTCTTCCGTTTTTCAGAATTATACAAATGTAGCTCGACGGAGATAATGGAAGTTGCTTTTGGAGAGCTATCTTGCAGACTGTCTTTGCACAAGATATTGACAAGAGATGTCTGCACATTTTGAGAGCCTCCTGAATCTCCAGCATTTTTTCCCCCTGACATACACCAAGCACCCAACACAGGATCGTTCATACGAATGAATGAACAAATGAACTAGCAGGCTAAAAGAGAGGCAGCCCTTGATCCCCAAACATTGTGGTGCCAAAACACTGCTTTGACAGTGATTAGGCTGGGAGAAAAGACTGACATATCTTAAGAATCAGACAAAATAGAAAAGAAGGCTGGGCATGGTGGCTCACACCTGTAATCCCAGCACTTTGGGAGGCCGAGGTGGGCGGATCACAAGGTCAGAAGGTTGAGACCATCCTGGCTAACACAGTGAAACCCCGTGTCTACTAAATATACAAAAAATTAGCCAGCTGTGGTGGTGCATGCCTGTAGTTCCAGCTACTTGGGAGGCTGAGGCAGGAGAACCACTTGAACCCGGGAGGCAGAGGTTGCAGTGAGCTGAGATTGCACCACTGCACTCCCGCCTGGGCAACAGAGCAAGACCCCATCTCAAAAAAACAACAAAAAACAAAGAAAAGCAATTAAATTTTTTGAAGAAATTACTATTACTTAAAAGACTTAAGAGGATTTAAGTAGATGAGTGTGAGCAGTAGAGAGTAAGAGTGGCTCAGAGTTATTCCACAGACATGTTCTGAGCGTCTTTTGTGCCAGCCGTGGTACTGACCTTGGTACACAGTGGTGAGCAAACTAGCCCTAGCCTGTCGACTTGGGGCTTTCCTGTAGTGGGAGAAAATGACTTACTGTTAAATGCATGGTATGAACCAAAGCGGAGATACTGAGGGAGAAGACTGAGGCCCTGTAGGAGCATCCGGCAGAGGAAGCACAGCCTGGAAGAAGGCTTCTCTGAGGAAGTGATGCTTGAGCGTGGATCTGCAGGAAAAGTAGGACATTCCACATGGAGAGCAAAGGCCTCATGGCAGAAGGAGCCCAAGGGTGTTTGAGGACCTCGCTGGGGGCTGAAGCCCTGGAGTGTGAAACTGAGGGGGGAGGTCAATGAGCAGTTGCTGTAGCCACAGCGTGTTCTGTTATTTCTGAGAGTCTGAAATCTCTGAAGAGGATACTAGGCATAAATGCTAATGAGAACATGATCTTTCAGGTGGTGAGTCGATAGAGAAGGCGTTTGGGGGGATGCCCTCTCCTCATTGCGGATCTACCAGAACAAAATCTAAAGAATACACAAAAGAAACCGAACAGTGAGCTGTCAGGTTCTGAGGAGGGAGGGCGCGTGATAGAACACGGACCTGTTCCCGCATCCCCACCCCAGTCCTCATACTGGCTGTGCGACTAGGGACATGCGCAATTTTTATTTTACATAATATTCAGTTTCTTTTGGAAAATATTTTCTCAGACAAAAAATGCTAACATTTGTGAATGGTGGCAGTGGATACACGTGTATGTTTTATTATTTTATTTTTTTCTGTATATTACAATTTTTTTGATTAGAAGGGAAGACTCTTTTTTTTTTAATTAGAAGATGGGTAGGAAGAGGAAGGAAGCAGGTGCTAGGAATGGTTTAAGAGTCAGGGTCCTATTCCTAGATACAGATTGGCTCAGGCACATCACTTCTCTGGTCTTCTGATGCCTTTTCTAAGGAGAAGAATTTTGAAGACGATGATGTTGGAAATAGCTTCTGCCTCTAAAACATTCTGTGATGCTAATTTTTTAAAAACAGTTGATTATTGAATAATTCTATTTATAGGCTTGGGAATTCAGTGTCTCATGCCCACTAATCCCCCGATTCTTTTTGTTTTTTGTTTTTTTGAGACCAAGTCTTGCTCTGTTGCCAGGCTGAGGGGCAGTGGTGTGATCTTGGCTCACTGCAACCCTGCCTCCTGGGTTCAAGTGATTCCTCTGCCTCAGCCTCCCAAGAAGCTGAGACTGTAAGTGTGCGCCTACCTCGCCTGGCGAATTTTTTGTTATTTTTAGTAGAGGCAGGGTTTCACCATGTTGGCCAGGATGGTCTCGATCTCCTGACCTCATGATCTGCTGCCTTGGCCTCCCAAAGTCCTGGGATTACAGGCCTGAGACACTGCGTCCGGCCTAATCCCTGCCTCTTTAAAAGTAAGAGGAACCATTTTGCTTGTCACAGGATAACCAATAGCTCTCTAGTAAGGAAGCTCATGCATTGACATTCATCTGCTCAGAGACGTCTTCAAAAGCTGTGAACCCATGGGCTGTTCACATACATTCTGGACCAGACATGGGTATCTACATCCACCCAGAACGCCGTGCCTCTGTGTTAGGCATCTTGCCACTCACCACACGCCTTCCCGCGGCTGCTCTCTGGCTTTGCAGAGCACCTACCGAGTCCCTTCCCTCCAAATTTTAGATAAGAAATACAGCACTGAAAGCAAACAACCCAGGCAGACAGGCTGGTTTCACATGTCACCGTGTGTCAAAATCAGAGGTATGTCTTAGACTGCAGCTTCTTGGAAAAAAATTTGTCCCATGAATTTGGGGGTTTTGTTTTGTGTTTGGACATTGTCCAGGAGGCATGTGGGTCACCTGGAGCTTCATCAGTACCGCCGAGTGGGGACGATGGTGGTGCACGGTCAAATCCTCAGCTTTCCAGTTCCATCTCTATCAGCGGCACCCTCCAGTCTGCCCATTCCGCGGGGACGGTAGCAGCCGGTGGATGGAAGCCCAAGGAGAGGCCATGTGGGCTCTCCGCTGAGTCAGCAGGGAATGTCCTTCGGGCCAGCAGCTGCCCTTGCAGCCTCCTCTCCAAGTGAGGTTTCTCTCACTTGGGTCAAGTTTCCTTACAATGCATTGAATGAATGAGAATAAGAAAGTGTGTGCTGGCAGAATTTCTGCTGAATAATGCCAAGGCTTTCCAAGTCAGAGCATGAATTTAAGCAGAAAGTCCCCAGTCAATGGACTCGGAGTAATGGCTATTCTGCTAATCATGAAAAGTACAAATGCTTTTGCCTTTAAAGGCTCACAAAAGGGCTGCTCTGACTGGCTCGCTGGCCTGCTCAGTTACAAACTGGAAACTACTCTGGATCTTTGCTTTATGGCATTTCTTTTTTGTCGGTGGTTAGAAACATTTTCCACTTAGCATTTAAGGGTTTGAATAGACTGGTGACTTTTTTTTGAACTAAAGTTTCCTCTTTTCTTTTTTAAACAAATTTTTTTTTTTTTTTTTTTTTTTGCAAGTAGACTGAAGATTTAAAGTCACAGGTTTTCCAAATATTGAGACTCTGCCTGCATGATTATTACGTTTGCTGTGGGGATTAACACTTTTCCAAAGTACATTTCCACACAAGATCCTTGTTTTGCCCCGGAGTTTGGTTCTTCACAGCTTACTATGCAGATTTAGGCAAAATGGACCAAGCCCCATCCACTAGAACTTCCATTATAAAGGCAATCACTTCAAATAAAATGGAAGCCATTTATCTTAATGAACCAAGAGGAAAATGAAATCTGTTGAAATGATCTGAACCCTTAAAAACTGGTAATTTATCATGGCTGTATTCATTTGTGTTAGTTTCTCTATGCTGCCCGTTTTATTGACTTTTCACAGGCAAACTGACACCGCCACCACCAAATACTGTAGTATTTTTTTTTGAGACGGAGTTTCGCTGTTGTTACCCAGACTGGAGTGCAATGGCGTGATCTCGGCTCACCGCAACCTCTGCCTTCTGGGTTCAAGCAATTCTCCTGCCTCAGCCTCCCAAGTAGCTGGGACTACAGGAGCGCCCCACCATGCCCAGCTAATTTTTGTATTTTTAGTAGAGACGGGGTTTCACCTTGTTGACCAGGATGGTCTCGATCTCTTGACCTGGTGATCCACCCGCCTCAGCCTCCCAAAGTGCTGGGATTATAGGCGTGACAAATACTGTAGTATTTTCATTCCTCACGTTTTTTATTAGCAGGGTTACTTCTCCCTTAATAAAACCATGCCTTTGCCCCACTCCTCCGTTTCAGAGCATTCGGGGCTATTCCTGGTAAGAAGCCCGCAGTAGATAACTTGCCCGTTGTGGTGCTGGGCAGCAAAGGGGGCATGGATAATGGTTCCAGTTTTTCCCTCCAAATGGAGGGAAGACACAGACGTAATTGAAACTTAAAATGTCAAGGGGTAATTTTATTCCATTATTTTTAATGAAAATGGGGAGGTATCACCTAGCTAAAATGCCGGAAAATAGCCTCCTAGTAGCCCTAAGCATCCACGTGTGGCTGAATGCAGGTGGGATAGAACCCTGTTTCCTCTTACCTCCCTCCCCCAAATAGAGAGATGCCATCAGTGGTCGGGAAACGCAGCGAGCCACAGGTAATGAGCTCGGTCTCCACTTTCCTTGTCAGATCTCCCAGCTGATGACAGAGAGTGGCCGGGAAGGACTGACCGAAGCCGTGCTGAACCGCTACAATGCAGACAAGCCTTCAGCCTGCAGCGTCCCCGCCTCGCAGGGCTCCTGCTTGGCCAACGAGACTTCTGCAGGTACCTCGGTGGCCGCTTCCTTCTTTGCACGGTAAGAGAGCCGTTCACATCCGTGGTTCCTTCCGCTGGGCGTGCCTGGTTAACCTCTCGCGTGGACTGATGCGGCTGAAACACCAGAAAGCATTTGGGGCGGTTCTTTGGTGTCACTGTTTACGGGACTTTCTCAACCATGGCTCTTAGACATCCTTGGCCAGCTAACTGTTGTGGGGACTGTCCTGTGTGTTGAAGGATGGCCTGTACCCCTCGGTGTGTGCCTGAAGGACCTTCCCTGAGTTGTGACTACCAAAAATGTCCCCAGACATTGTCAAAAGCCCTGGGGTTGAGAACTATTGCTCTCTCTCTCTTTTTTTTTTTTTCCTTTTTTGAGATGGGGTCTCACTGTCACCCAGGCTGGAGAGCAGTGGAGTCTGCCTCCCAGGTTCAAGCGATTCTCCTGCCTCAGCCTCCCGAGTAGCTGGGACAACAGGTGTGCACCACCACACCTGGCTAATTTTTGTATTTTTAGTAGAGACAGGGTTTCACCATGTTGGCCAGGATGGTCTCAATCTCCTGACCTCGTGATCTACCCGCCTCGGCCTCTCAAAGTGCTGGGATTACAAGCATGAGCCACTGCGCCCAGCCCTAGAACCACTGCTCTCTTGATGTGTAGCTCTAAAGAGGGTCTTCCTCTGGATGAGAACTTTTGTTGGGGATCCCTCTGGCGGCTGTTTCCAGATTTATCTTCTCATTCTAGAAACTTAACTGTTTAAAAGCTATTAAATAGATGGCTGGGGGGATTTTTTACTCCTTCTTGACAGATGAGCCAGAGAGTTATCAAATACTATCCAGCTAATCTTGGGAACTTTAAAAATATAAGAAACAAAAAAGAAAGATATTTCAACAATGTTTTCTCCCTAATTTTAGCAACAAGGCAGAGACAGGGCAGGAGACAAAGGACAGCTGAGCAGGAAAGGACTTCAGAGATTGTCTGATTCCATCTCCTTATTTATGAGTGAGAAAACCGAGGGCCAGGAAAGTTCCACTAGAAGCGGGTTTATAGCACAGCCAGAAATGGAAACTGGATTTATCTGCCTTTTTTCTCTATCTCTCTCTCTTTTTTTTTTTTTTTTTGCGATAGAGTCTTGCTCTGTCACCCAGTCTGGAGTGCAGTGGTGTGCTCTTGGCTCACTGCAACCTCTGCCTCCTGGGTTCAAATGATTCTCCTGACTCAGTCTCCTGAGCAACTGGGACTATAGGCATGCCCCACCATGCCTGGCTAATTTTTGAATTTTTAGTAGAGATCGGATTCCATGTTGACCAGGCTGGTCTGGATCTCCTGACCTCGTAATCCGCCTGCCTCGGCCTCCCAAAGTGCTGGGATTACAGGCGTGAGCCACCACACCCAGCCTGTCACTCATATTTTAATTTAATATTTGAAACTGAACCTTAGAAAACTTTCTCTGCCTAAGATTTGCAAACCACTGAGTGAACAGGGCCTAGAAGAAATACGGTAGCATCAGATATGAAATGTAAGACCCTTTGGGTTCAAGTTGCAGTTCGGCCTCAGCTTCGCCTTCTATAAAATGAGGATATACCTCCTCTGAGGGTTGCTCTGAAGACAGATAAGGTGATGGAAAGTGATAAAGTGCTGTAGAAGTGGTGACAGCGGTGGCAGGGAGAAGGAGTGCTGTGTGGCTGTTCCGAATGGTAGCATCCAAAACACAAATGTGAGGAAGGGGGGCTGATTAGGACGGGGACAAGGCAGAGGAGGACAGAGGCCTGATGCCCCGGACGATGGCACCCTAAAGGCAGCACACGGGGCTTGCTGGAAGACCGGCTTTGAGGGTCCTGACTGTTCCTGGGTGCCATGTTTAGTGTCCCATGAACACTTGGGCCAACTCAAATGTGTGGGAAGTAACGAGAAATGTGTACAGACTGGCCACCCAGCAGTGAGGACCCTTGCGGGATGGGATCCCTGTCTGTACATGAATATCTGTGTTGTCCCAGCCCATTAAGCAGGGACTTCAAGCTCACTGGGAGGCCATGGCCATGCCACTTAGGGAGAGAATGAAGGGAGGGAACAGTTACGAGGAAATGTCACAAGCACAGGAGCTCCTAGGAGGCTATTTGAGCACGTCCAAAGGAGGGTCACCAAGACGCGCTTTCACGGCAGGTTCCATTTGGAGAAGAGAAGGATTCTGGGTGTACCATGGATGCTTGGGGCTCTCTCTTGGGCTGCTGTGTAAATGGAGATTTGGTTGGTTTTGTTGAGCAGCCAAGTATGTAGGCAAAGGAGACGCATCCCCAGCTCAGAATGCAGAATGCAATTCCGATGGTTTCAGGAGAAAGTGAGATTCGTGTCCCTGAGTGAGATGAAAGTTATGTTGAGTAATGACCTGGCCTTGGTACCAGAAGGAACATTCAGTGCTCAGATGGGAATTGACTGCTGATGTGCCTTTCTAACCTGAAATTCTTTGAATGTGGAAAACCTTCCATTCAGTTCCAGCCAGAGAATTTTACGGAAGGCTGACTGACTCACAAGACAACCCAGAAAAAATCTAAAGCAGGAGGAAAAAAGAGGCAAGGGTTCCCCTTGGGCAGAATTGAAGGAGAACAGGAGTTCCAGGTGCAAGGAAGTGACGTGGGAATGAGATGTGCTGGGAACCTGAGAGTGTTGGGCAAGCAGTGTGCCCAAGGCTGGAGTTCAGGGTGTCAGGAGGATTTACAAACAAGCAAGCAAACGTCAGAGAAAGGAATGGCGAAGCGCTAGCCAAGCGTCGGTGGCACGGGGATACTGAGGCAAAGCGCTGGCAAAGCGTCGGTGGCACGGGGGTACTGAGGCACAACCTGCACTGCATGAGCTGATGATGCAGCTGGGCGGGCCGTGCCTGTGACGCAGGCAGCAAACCAGTGCTTAAAACCCATGACTTCAGAGTGACGAGGGCTTGTGATGTGAGCTTGCAAAGAGCTGGAAAGGATCCGTAAGTCTCCCAAAGCTTTATGATGACTTTCTTTGCAGTGAACGCTGATAGCACTCAGAGCTGAATGGGATGAGCATCAAAAGCCCATGGTCTGTATTCAGAGGTTTACAGTGTACAGTGGGAAACAGTACCGTGTGAAAAGAATGATCTTTACGTATATCCGCCCCCCTTTACTCATGCCCATGTCTTGCCCTGTTCTCATCATCGATGATGAGGCCTATTCTTAGCTGGACGTTCTCACCTCCCAACGAGAGAGGCGGCGTATTAATAACCTCCCTGTCGCTGAGGGCACCGAAAGCTGAAGTGTGAATGACCGGCTCCAGGCCCGTCATGTCAAGAGGCAGACCCAGGAGTGTCTGTGACCCCTTTACATCCTCTGATGTCCGTGTGATAAGCCAAAACCTGTCCAGCTTATGTTGTCAGACTGTAAACTGAGTTCGAAGAGCCTTTTGGTTTTAGCTGACGCGGAGCTGTGTAAGGTGACGGTCATGACAGATTTTGATAAGTGTGTCCTCATAGGGGTGTGGGGGCGGAGTCGGCTCCTACACCTCCAATCTGTGCTCACCACTTTCAGCTCTTGCAGCGGAGACCTAGTCCTCTGAGCGTGCAGGGCCCTGGAGTCAGGGCACAAGGGTGGCCTGCTCTCAGGAAGCTGTCCTGGGCCAGGCATGCTGACTTACACCTGTAATTCCAGCACTTTGGGAGACCAAGGTGGATGGAACCCATGAGGCCAGGAGTTCAAGACCAGCCTGGCCAACATGACGAGTCCCCATCTCTACTAAAAATACAAAAATCACCCAGCACTTTGGGAGGCCGAGGCAGGTGGATCACAAGGTCAAGAGATCGAGACCATACTGGTCAGCATGGTGAAACCCCGTCTCTACTAAAAATACAAAAAATTAGCGGGCACTGTGGCACGTGCCTGTAATCCCAGCTACTCAGGAGGCTGAGGCAGGAGAATTGCCTGAACCCAGGAGGCGGAGGTTGCGGTGAGCCGAGATCGCGCCATTGCACTCCAACCTGGGTAACAAGAGCGAAACTCCGTCTCAAAAAAAAAAAAAAATACAAAAATCAGCCGGGTGTGGTGGTGCATGTCTGTAATCCCAGCTACTTGAGAGACTGAGGCGTGAGAATCGCTTGAACTAAGGAGGTGGAGGTTGCAGTGAGCTGAGATGAGTCACTGTACTCCAGCCTGGGTGACAAGGCCAGACTCAGTCTCAGAGAAACAAGAGGGAAAGAAGGAAAGAAGGGAAGGAAGGAAGGAGAGAAAGAGAAGGAGGAAGAAGGGAAGAAAGAAAGAACAAAAGGGAGGAAGGAAGAAAGGAAAGAAAAAAAGGAAAAAAAGAAAAGAAAAAAAGAGGCAGCGGCTGTGCTGGGCCCATTTCATTTTCCGTGGGAGGGACGGCATTTGCCGGATTTTTGGCCCACGTGGCCGACATTTACTGAGCGCTCAGTAAGCACCACTCACTGTTAACAGCTCTTCATATGCAGAATCTTCATTTTCAGAGAAACGACGTGAGGCAGAGCCCAGCACATTCTCTGTCTTGTGGATAAAGAAGATGGTTCCCTGAGTTTCTGACCCAAAGCCACATAGCCAGGAGTGGGAGTGGGAAATCCACCCTCATCTCCTCTCCCTTGAGAGCCCACGTTCCTGTTCTCTGTACTAAACAGACACAGTGAGACACTTTATTATAGGGTGTGTTGTTTTTGTTTACTGTAATCATGACTGATGATTGCCTGTAAAACATCTTTGAAACTCCTGGGCCCTGTGATCTGTTTGAGAAGCTGAGTCGAACGACGGTAACACAAACAACAGAAAAACGCCCTCTTTGTCGAGGATCGCACATGTGTACTTTTCTTTGTGATATTAACCTTTATTTAAAATGTATTTATTTTTATTTTAAAAACATTTTTTTAATTTTTTGAGACAGGATCTCACTCTCACTGCAGGCTCAGCCTCCCAGGCTCTAGTGATCCTCCCACTTTAGCCTCCTGAGTAGCTGGGACCACAGAAATCTACCACTGTGCCCAGCTACTTTATATTTATTTTTTGTAGAGATGCGGTCTCCCT